AAACTGGCACAGTTTTTCCAAGGATGCTTATTTTTATTCAACATAAAATTAGACAAATTCTCAACGAGAAAAAACTAAATTTCTCTCCTTTTTCCGTTTATACGGATTGTTCAGAATTTCCATGTGGACTCCGCCGTAATCGCGAAATAAAAGTTGGCTCTGGGAGCTCGATGGCCGCGATTTGGACAAAAAATAAAAAAAGAGGGTGAAAAAAAAAATGATAAAAATCTGATGAAACATAGTTTTGACTAATAACAAAAGTGTTTCAATTTCTACCAGTGAATTAGATAATACAGAATTATATTTTATACCTCGTGTTTAATTTATAATTATTATTTAATGAATAAATTGTTGTATCGAAAATGTTATGTCATTATAACGTGAAATATTCACATATGTTCAGTTATTTACAAATATAAATTTGCAGAGTTATTCTTATCTATCGTAGTATGAAAGCACAGGAGGGATGACTTTAACGAATAGCTGGAATTTCAAAACACGTAACAACAATGAGTCGAAAAACGAATCACTTGTTTGATAAACCACCATGATTCTTGTTTCTTTGACTTGATAATTATTGTAAAAGTTGGAGAAATTTGAATAAATTAAATATTGTAAAAATCAAAATATTTTTACATATTAGAATTTTGCCAATATATTTATATATTTTTTGTATTTATTATTTCCGAACCACCGTCTAATTCCATGATGTCGTGCCAAAATGTGTCGCCCACATTTTCCAACTGCCAACAGGCAGCAACAGTTGTCACGATAGGAAACTTTGGATCCAGATTTCGGTATCTACTACAAGGTAACTGATGTTGAATTCCAGAAACGGAAGCAATTCTCGAATGAAGTTTGAAGGAGGAACACTATCGTGCACGATAGTGCAATTTCATGATGAATCGCGATAAAATGTATTATCTGGAAATAGATAATTTTAATCCCGCGTTTAATTTACATTTCTAAATACAATTGAATCGATCAATTTAATACCGTATGAGTGAATCATATTTAAGATGAAGAATCAATATAGGTTATTATCAAGTATTTAATTGCCATTCTACGAACAAAGAAAATCACATTTCGACGAATTTTTAAATTCACAACTTATTGTTTCGAGATTACTCTTTACAATATTCATATTTCTTTCTTTCAAACATAGTTTCGCTGGAAATTCCACTCCACTCGCAAATTTTCTTCCCATTTTTTTCTTTCTTTCTCTTATCTACATTTTCCTGCTTTCGGAAGGAAATTATAATTTTATTTTAATGTAGAACCGGTGAGAACTGGTAAAGAGGCAATTATTATTCCATCTGCGAACGACGAAAATACACGGCGAAAGAGTCCCACGGTCACGAAAATGGCTGGCTCAGCGGTCTCTTCGGGACTCGGGCGGGGCGGAGAGGGGTGGAAGAAAAAAGTGTATCTTCGTACAAGTCGAGAAAACGTTTTTCCCAACTACGAAAGAACGTGAGATGTACATACCGGTTACCAGGGGCGGAAAGCTATAAACTCGATAAAGTATAGAACGCTGACTCAATCTTCGTGCAGGGAACTCGCCTATTCTCAAAAGGAATACTCTCTCTCTCTCTCTCTCTCTCTCTCTCTCTCTCTCTCTC